GCCCTGCTAACATGCTGTGAGCTTAGGAATCAAACAATCGACTTTTGAGAATTTCTTCCAGATTGAGAGAACAACGAGGGTTTTCACGAAGTTTATTGATTGAACTTCTTAATAGTTGTTTTGATTATTTCTTTTTTTTATTAGATCATAATTGTGTACACTAATTCTATCATAGGATACAGTGTGCTGCTTCCATATGCAGTTTGGAAAACTCTCATCCAACTGGCTAACATAGCCATCATGTCTTTATCATAATTGTTGTGTTAAGACATTTATATTCAACCTTTAGACAAATTCACATGTACCCTAATAGGATAAATCATAGGCGTGATCCCCACAATATCATTCTCTTCACCCATCCTCCCCCCCAACCTTTCCCTGTAGTCTAGGTCTCCATTTGGATTGTAGCTTTCCTAAGATAGCTAACTATTAGTTTCATAATAGTGTTGAGTACATTGGATACTTTTTCTTCCTGATTATTTCTTTAATTTTTTTTTTTTTACCTGTATTTTCAATAAGCAAGTTTACTGGATAATTGAGATCTGAGTAGTGGAGTGATACTTTTTGCTACAAGCAAAGCTACTGTGCAAAAAATTCCATGGAACATGTTCTATTGTGCTTAACCGTTCAAAAAATAAATACTGAATATCATATTCCCATTTTTCAGAAGTTAGGAGTAAAACTGCTATCAGCTACCTGCTTAGTCTTACTGCACCAGACTAATAGGTGAGTAGATCAGTGGGGCAACGAGGGAGCCGTTACACAGATCCCGTGACATTCCTCTGGTCTTTCTTCCTCCAGGCGCTAAAGTATTTTTTTGAGACATTTTATTTTGGTGAGAGTTTAGGGAATTTAGTTTAAACAATGGGGGATGTTTAATATCAAAATCATGCTAAAATAATGTGAGGAAATGTGATATGATATTAAAAACTTATCATTTAAAAAACTACAAAAAATCTGACATCCAAAATGAAATAGGCAAAACCAGAAAATTTAGTTGTTTTCTTAAAAAAAAAAAGTACAGTAACTTACAGCCAATGTAGTCTCGGCATGTGCTGGCAAAGAGGCTTATCAGGTAGACGGGGGAGGACGTTATTCATCAGGACTCTGGAGAGACAAGAAGCCAAAGCAGTCACATTTTTCTTGCTCTTTTGTCACCTTGACTCAAACATGGTATAATTATTATTATTCTTACAAAACCACAAACGCCAATTATTTTTAAGTTAATTGTCTTCCCTCTCTAATTTTTTTCTCTATAAGTCCTATTATACTTAAGCACTTGATAGTAATAGAATTTTGACAGATAGTAGTTAGTATATGGAGAAAGCATATTTGTATACATAAAAGAAAAAAAAAGCCTATACTCTTCCACATGGGTAGTGAAGAGGTGATTTGAAATGAATTTTATTTCTTTATCCAGATGAATACAGGCACTCCTCATCTTACTGCACTTTGTCTTATTATGATTTTGCAGATACTGCCTTTTTGTAGATATTCTGTTTTTTTCATATTGAAGGTTCATGGTAACCCTGCGTTGAGCGAGGTTACTGATATTGTTTCTCCAGTAGCATGTACTCACTTTATTTCTCTGTATTACTTTGCTGTCTCTGTAGACAGCATCCAGAACTTTCATATCTGGGGAGGAGAAGTTACTACCTGGCTTCCAAGCTTCAAAGGACAGGCTGACTCTCTCGTGAGTGGCTAATGCAACTGATAACTTTGAGTTGCAGCCAGTGCTCATTTACCGTTCTGAAAGTTCTAGAGCCCTGAAACATTATGCTAAATCTACTCTGCCTGTGCCTTATAAGAGGAAGAGCAAAGCCTGGATGACAGCACATATGTTTACAGCATGGCTTACTGAATATTTTAAGCCCGTGGTTGAGACCTGCTGCTCAGAGAGGGATTCCTTTCAAAATGTCACTGCTCATTGACAATGCATCTGGTCACCCAAGAGCTCTGAGGGAGATGTATAAGGAGATTAATGTTGTTTGCATGCTCCTCTGCTAACAGGACATTCATTTTGCAGCCCACGGATCAAAGAGTAATTTTGAACTTTAGGTCTTATTATTTAAGAAATACATTTTGTAAGGCTTTAGCTTAGCAGTTCTCAACCTCTGGGTTGTTGACCCCTTTCACAGGGGTTGCCTAATATCAGCTATTTACTTTACAATTCATAACCATAGCAAAATTACAGTTATGAAGTAGCAACAAAAATAATTTTATGGTTGGGGGTCATCACAACATGAGGAACTGTGTTAAAGGGTCACGGCATTAGGAAAGTTAAGAACCACTGCTTTAGCTGCTATAGATAGTGATTCCTCTGGTGGATCTGGACCAAGTAAATTGAAAACCTTCTGGAAAGGTTCACCACAATAAACACAACTCAGAACATTTGTGATTCATGGGAGGAGGTCAAATGTCAGCATTAAGGGGAATTTGGAAGAAGTTTAGTTCAACCTTCATGGATGACGTTGAGGGATTCAAGACTTCAGTGAAAGAACTATAGATTTGTTGGAAATAGCAAGAGAACTAGAATTAGAAGTGAGGGCTGAAGATTAGACTGAATGGCTACCATATCATTTAAGACTTGAACAGATGAGGAGTTGCTTGTTACAGATGAGCAAAAAACATGGTTGTCTGAGAAAAAAATCTACTCCTGGTAAAGATTCCATTGATGTTGTTGAAGTGACAACAAAGAATTTAGAATATTAAATATATTTTGTTGATAAAGCAGTAGTAGAGTTGAGAGGATTGACTCCAGTTTTGAAAGAAGTTCTATTATAGATAAAATACTATCGACCAGCATTGCACACTACAAAGAAATCTTTCACAAAAGGAAGAATCAATCGATAGAGAAAATTTCATTATTGTTTTATTTTAAGCATTTGCCATAACCACTCCTGCCTTCAGCAATCACCACACTGATCAATCAGCAGCTGTCAACACAGAGCCAAAACCCTCCACCAGGAATTAAAAAACAAAAACAAAATTATGACTTAGTGAAAACGCAGATGACTGTTAGCACTTTTTAAGCAATAAAGTAATTTTAAAGTAAGGCTATATATTTTTTAGACATAATACTATTATATACTTAATACACTATGTAATAGTGTAAATACAATTTTTACATATATTAGGAAACCAAAACATTCTGTGGAAGTTGCTTTATTGTGATAGTTGTTTTTATTATGAAGGTCTGAGGTATTTAGGGCAGTAGTGATGTGCTTAAGAACATTTCAATAGTATGATAGTGAGACCACATTCAATTTGATAGACTGATATTCTAAAGGACAGAAATCTTATAAAATTGCTGAAACTATATATGGCCTCATAGCATATGATTAGGAGATGGTTTCTAGTTGACAAGCCTTTTTGGGTTTTGACATTCCAAATGTAATGTTATTAAATTTAAGCATTAATTTAATTCATCCCTTTTCCTTCAATGTCCCTCAGTTGAAATATTTGTTTTAGTTTAATACTTACAAAAGAATAAGAGAATTCAGTCCGTAAAATGTTAGTGGGGAAATTCGACTGAGGCGATTATCTTCAATTATCCTGCCAGCCAGGAAAAGAAAAATGAGTTCATTTACATATCTTTAAAGCCTGAAGACTAATACTATAAGATGTCACATAAATTGAACCTACAGCCATTCTAGTCTGTGAAGATCTTCAAAAACACCCGGCTTCAGGAAAGTTATTCGGTTATGACTGAGATACCTGGAAAAGGATAAATGACAACAACAAATTTGGACCTTTTGGACGTTTTATAACAGGGAAAATAAAAACAACAATCACCAATCTTAAGTTTTCTTATATATTATTCTCATCATGCCACTTCCCTGCTTTTGATTTTCTGAGAGTTAATGACACCTACCTTATCATCTCTAGCTTTTAACTTCCCTATACTTGATTGATACGTTCATCAATTCACTCATTCATCAAATCGTTGTGAGTTTCTACTCTGGCACTATGCTAAGTTTGTTCCTTTTTTTAAGGGGCTTTGGGTCTGGAGGGGAGACAGCATGAGACTAGTTATCACGCAACAGTGGGAGAGCAGAGGGATGGGTAAGGTGTATGGTTGCTCCGCTATGACGGAGGAGAAAGCGTCTGCCTTTGCTAGGGGAGGAAAAGGCAGTGCATAGTGCAACGGGAGACAGGAAGGCTTCACAGAAGGAGGCATACTTGGCACAGCACCCGTAGTTCAGAGGTTAGGGCACCGGCCACATGCAGTGGGGCTAGTGGGTTCGAACCTAGCCAGGCTCTGCTAAACAACAATGACAGCAGCAGCAACTACAACAACATAATAGCCGGGCATGTGGCAGGCACCTGTAGTCCCAGCTACTTGGGAGGCTGAGGCAAGAGAATCACTTAAGCCTAAGAGTTTAAGGTTGCTGTGAGCTGTGATGCCACAGCACTCTACCAAAGGTGACCTAGTGAGACTCTGTGTCAAAAAAAAAAAAAGGAGGCAGAGTTGAGAAGAGCCTTGAAAGGAGTCATGGAGTTCATAAAACAAAGCAAGGGCAGAGGGAAGAGCTTGTCCCAAAGCTTGTACAAGAGACAATAACAAGGCGAGGGGTGCAGCAGGGAACTCGGAGGGGAGGGGGGGCTCGCCCTGAAGGGCTGTGAGGACAGACAGATGAATCTGGGAGGCAAGTGAGGGCTGTTTAGGAGAAAAGGACATTGCAGACCTTGCTGAAGGGTCTGACCCCATCCTGCCTACCCAGCGTTACTTCCCACTCTCCTGCTCAGTGAACTAGTTCCTTGTTCTCTAGCGTTGGTGCCTCCTCTTGCCACGCTCATCCCTGTCGCACTCTCCTCAGTGTGGCCATTCACACTAAATCTGTGGTCAAAGTTTGATTCCTGACTCTTCTACTAACTAACTGTGTGATGTGACCTTGAGCAAGCAGTTAATTCCTATAAACCTCAGCTTCCCTAACTCTAACGTCGGGATATCAATCCCTAATTCCTAGGCTTGTTGTGGCCGTTGAGGCCATCCAGGCTGCAAGCACTTGTTGTTCATTATTTATTGTATTGAATAACAATGTCTCTGCTCATGCTTCCCACCCCGATTTCTCTTTCTTAATATTTTTCTGCTCAGTTATAAAATAGCTTCTGAATCTTCCAATGTACTTCCTCTTTTCCCCCTCTATAGTTCATGTACAAGTGTTAGTTAGTTCAAAGTTCACTTCCACCACTACACAGTTACACTGATTTCTTTCTTTTCTCTACTTGTACATATCTGGAAGTTCACATCCTATTCAATTCCTCCTGCCAGGACTCTGCCCTTTCCCACCAGGGTGTAAGGGGTAGCAAGAGATGACACCCCACGATAGAGCTACTTCCTGCCCTCCTTTGTAACCCCAGAGCTCAGAGGGGCACAGGCAGGGGTAAGACATAGGTGTTTTTTTTTTGGTTACCCTCGGTAGAGTGCCATGATGACACAGCTCTCAGCAACCTCAAACTTTTGGGCTTAAGTGATTCTCTTGCCTCAGCCTCCCAAGTAGCTGCAACTACAGGCACTCCCCACAACGCCTGGCTGTTTTTTGTTGCAGTTGTCATTGTTGTTTAGCAGGCCGGGGATGGGTTCGAACTCGCCAGCCTTGGTGCATGTGGCTGGTGCCTTAAACCATCGTGCTATGGGTGCAAAGCCAAGAAATAGTTTTAACATTGACCATGAAAAACCTCAGGGGGTTCTTGAGTAAGCCAACACACCCTGACCCCCAGGAAAAAGGCCTTTGATCCCCCTTTTGTCCTGTGCTCCTTTGCGCAGCCCCGTCCCCTTCAGTTCTCAGAGCCGCGCTTCTGTCCCAGATGGGCAGTGACCATCCTTTCAGTGAACCGTAGTAGCAGGTTGGGTGTGAGCAGCACCGGTTTAGGATGTAAGTCCTTTTGGCCATTATTTGCTGTCATATATTCATTGGCGTTGTTTCCCGACCTAGATCACAGGCTTCTAGAGATCACAGAGGTGTGAGCCTCTGCCCGGAGACAGCTCGGTCCTGGCCTGAACGCTGAGGATAAGCCGCTTACACGCTGCACGCCCGGCTTAACCTCCAGGCCCTCCCGGGGTCTGTCTGAAGTGTTTGTGCTCTGTACGCCCTAATGAATACCATGGATGAGTGAAAAGCACGTGTCTTATGGTTATTTATGAAAAAACTAGAAGTATGTGGTGGAAGTATGGTGAAACAATATTCCAGAGTTATACAAAAATAGGTTAAGAAGGCTGGGCGGGGTGCAGCAGGCCTGTAATCCAAGCATCTGGGGGACTTGCTTGAGGTCACCAGTTTGAGACCTGTTTAAGCAAGAGTAAGTCCCCATCTCTATTAAAAATAGAAAAAATTAACCCGGGGTTGTGGTGGGTGATGGTAGTCCCCTCCATATGGAGACTGGTAGGAGGCTGAGGCAGGAGGATCTCTTGAACCCAGAAGTTCGAGGTTGCTGTGAGCTAGGCTGAAGCCATGGCCTTCCAGCCCAGGGTGAGAGGGAGACTTTGCCTCAACAACAAAACAAAGCAAAAAACAAAAAAAAAAAAAAGAAAAACTTCACACCCCCCCCCCCAAATCAAACAACAGCAGTGAAAGAGATGGAGGGAACCTTTAGATTACGCTCCAGTTCTGTGCTACCTGTCAAGATCTCCCTCACATCTACTGCACATTAAACCAAGCAGATGCTGTTTAGGGAGATTTGACAAGACTCATGGGGAGAAAGATACTCAGGAGAGTGAGCCCATCACTGACTGTGGGTCGTTTGCTAAGACACCACGAGCAGGGATGGGTCCGAAGGGGGCAGGAGGGAAACGGTTACTGCCGAGGCTGTGCGTCTCCCGCGGCCTTCTTGTGTCTTGCTAGTAAATTACTAGTGATCTTTTTGGCTCAGCCCCAAACTCCATAACACAAGCTAAAAATCAGACTGGAATGATTTTCTTGGGTTAGGATAGATCATGGGATAAGATAGAAAACAAATGGACAGAAATGGAAATACAGGGCGTTATATATGTACATGATTTGGGGTTATCCACAATTTCCTTTCAATTACCTCTTCTAGGAGGCTACTTGGTAGAATTCAATTAAATGGAACTTTGACAAAACCTATTTTAAAAAGCTTTGCTCTTAAGCACAATAAGATACAAATTCATACCCATTGGGATAGTTATTGTTAAATCAACCAAACAAACAGAAAATCCAGACCAGAAAATAGCAAGTATTGGTGAGGATGTGGAGAAATTGGAGCACGTATGCAGTGCTGGTTGAAAAGCAACATAATGCAGCTGCTATGGAAACCAGTGTGGTAGTTCCTCCAAAAACAAAACAAAACAAAACAAAACCCAAAACCAAATGTACAGTTACCATACGACCAGAAATCCCACTTCTGGGTATACACCTGAAAGAATTGAAGCAGAAACGCAAACAGATACTTGCTCTCTCACGTTAACAGCAGAATTACCCACAACAGCCAAAAGCGGAAACAACCCAAATGTCCATGGACGGAGAGACGGATAAATAAAACGTAGCATGAAATGCCGCAGTGGGATAGTAGTCAGCCTTGAAAAGGAAGAAATTCTGACACATGCAACAGCACCGATGAACAGTGAAGACCGCGGGCCAAGAGAAGACGGTCGGATACACAAGGACAAATACTTTATGATTCTGCTTGTACGAGGCACTCAGAGGAGTCAGTTCATAGATACAGAAAATAAGATGGGGGAGGGGAGGAAATGAGGTGTTATAATTTATTTAACAGGTACGGAGTATCATTTGGGGAAGATGAAAAAGTTCTGGAGGTGGATGGTGATGGTGGTTAAACCTTTTCACATATTTTCAATGTTTAAAACGGTAATAAAGTAGACATATAAAATTTACCATCTTAACTAATTTTTTTTTTGACACAAAGTCTCACTTTTTTGCCCTTGGTAGAGTGTTGTGGCACCATAGCTCCCAGCAACCTCAAAAACTTGGGCTCAAGTGATTCTCTTGCCTCAGCCTCCCAAGTAGCTAAGATTACAGGTGCCCTCCACAAGGTCTGGCTAGTTTTTTTCGAGGTGGGGTATCGCTCTTGCTCTTGCTTGTCTCGAACCTGTGAACTCAGGCAATCTCCCCACCTTGCCCTTCCAGAGTGCTAGGATTACAGGCGTGAGCCACCATGCCCTGCCCTCATCTTAACCATTTTTAAGTGTATATTCAGATGCATTAAGCACATTCACATAGTGATGCTACTATCATCACCCTCCCTCCATAGATCTTTCTTTTTTTTTAATTTAATTTTTTATTAAACCATAACTGTATATATTTATGGGGTACGATGTGATGATTTTACAATGTAGAATGCCTAAATCAAACTGATTAAAATAACCACTACCTCACTTACCTATTTTTTGTGGTAAGACATTTATAATTTACTCTTAATTATTTTGAAACGTACCCTTGCATTGTGCACATTAGACGAGATCCTACCAAATTCTCTCCCTCCTTCCACCAATCATCTCCCCCCCCACTCTTCCCACAGGTCTCTCATCCACAGTGTGAACACACTTAATGCCACTGCTATGTACACTCATGGGAAATTGTATAGTATGCATCGTTTACCACAAGAGATTTTTTTTTTTTTTGAGACAGAGTCTGACTTTATTGCCCTCAGTAGAGTGCTGTGGCATCATAGCTCACAGCAACCTCCAACCCCTGGGCTTAGGTGATTCTCTTGCCTCAGCCTCCCAAGTAGCTGGGACTACAGGCACCCCACCAGAAAACCTGGCTATCTTTTGTTGCAGTTTGTCTGGGGCCAGGTTTGAACCTGCCACCCTCAGTACATGGGGCTGGTGCCCTACCCACTGAGCCACAGGCACCACCCTCCAATTTTTTTTTTAACCTTACAGTATTTATATATTCATATAAGTGGGATTAGTGAAAAAAGAAAAACATGAATGGGGGAAGCCTCTGGGGTTTTATTTCTTCTTCACAAATCTTATCAGGCTTTCTGTCTTTGACTAAGTTCTTTCCATCCTCACTTCTGTCGCCACAGAGGATGGAGAGAAGTTCTTATCCTGTGCCAGGCACAGTGTAGCCAATGCTTCCCATGGAGCTTCTCATTTGCTCCTTACAACGACACTGAGGTGGGAACTATTATAATTTGTGTTTTATGGTAGAGAAAATGGATACCCAGAGAGGAAAACAAATCACTCAAGGTCACACATCTAGCAAGTGATACACTTAGGACTCAGACTGAAGCCTGTCTGACCGGAAATCCCAGGCTCTTCACCATGACACAGTCCTGTCCCTTCAGCTCCACTCGCTCCCATCTCCTTGGCCTTACTGTGGGTGGGAGGATAGTCTGGACTGCAAGGGGCCAGGCTGCCAGACCACTATGGAATGGGCAAGTGGTACTTACAGTTTATTAAGGCTGTACAGTCCTCTGAAAGCATAGATGGATACGGATCTAATTTTATTGTTTTGCAGGCACCTGTGAAAATGATTATTAAGAAAGAAAACCACAATGAAACAGAGTTTTAGCTCTGCAAAGTGAAAAGAGATCTGTAGATGGACGATGGTAATAGCACAATAAGGTGAATGTACTTAATGTCTCAGAATATGCACTTAAAAACAAATAAGATGGAAATTTTTATATTATGTATATTTTAGGATAATTTAAACAATTAAAAATTGAAAAAGGTGATCATGTGGAATAATTTAGCTATGCTAGATACCATGTCACTTTATTTGGCTGTTAAATTCATGCATAATTAGGCTGGTTTTTATTTAGAAATTCTAATCATAGAGATAAACAGATAATAGTTTACTAGGGATAAAAATTTCACACATAGCAAAGCACTCACTAATTAGACAGGCCTGGAAGTCAGACCTTTGACCATTTCCTGCTATAATTTTTTTAAATTTTATTATTTTTTAATTAAATCATAGCTGTATACATTAATGCAGTCATGGGGTACAGTGTGCTGGTTTTATATACCATTTGAAATATTTTCACCAAACTGATTAACATAGTCTTCATGGCATTTTCTTAGTTATTGTGTTAAGACATTTATATTCTGCATTTAGAAAGATTCACATGTACCTTTGTAAGATGGACCATAGGTGTGATCCCACCAATCACCCTCCCACCACTCATCCTCCCCCTCCCTCCCCCTCTTCTCCCCCGTCCCCGTATTCTTGGGCTATAATTGGGCTATTGCTTTCCTATGAAAGCTATAAACTAGTTTCATAGTAGGGCTGTGTACATTGGGTACTTTTTCTTCCATTCTTGAGATGCTTTGCTAAGAAGAATATGTTCCAGCTCCATCCATGTAAACATGTAAGAAGTAAAGTCTCCATCTTTCTTTAAGGCTGCATAATATTCCATGGTGTACATATACCACAATTTATTGATCCATTTGTGGGTCGATGGGTACTTGGGCTTCTTCCATGATTTAGCAATTATGAATTGGGCTGCAATAAACATTCTGGTACAAATATCTTTGTTGTAATGTGATTTTTGGTCTTCTGGATATATACCTAATAGAGGAATCTTTTTTTTTTTCTTAAACAGAGCCTCAAGCTGTCACCCTGGGTAGAGTGCTATGGCATCACAGCTCACAGCAACCTCCAACTCCTGGGCTCAAGCAATTCTCCTGCTTCTGCCTCCCAAGTAGCTGGGACTACAGGTGTCTGCCACAATGCTCAGTTATTTTTTGGTTGCAGCTGTCATTGTTGTTTGGCAGACCCAGGCTGGATTTGAACTCGCCAGCTCAGGTGTATGTGACTGGCACCTTAGCTACTTGAGCCACAGGCACCGAGCCTCCTGCTATAATTCTTCAAATTTGTCGGTGTCCAACACAGTGCTGGCAGAAATACAAGCATATGACATCTTTAATGTCTCAAAGTATAGTCCATTTTAATCACAAATCCACCAAGCAAACCAACTTTAATCTTATTAATTTGAGACCCCAAGTTTTGTTCCAAAAAAAGTTGATGCAATTTATAAGGAGTTTAAATGGCAAAGGAGAAAAATATGAATAAAAAGAATCAGGACAAAAAGAATAGAGATTAGATTAGAAGCCAAGACAAGAATGCAGGCTGACACAGTTAAGTGAAGTATTTATCCCTGAAGGCTTTACCTGGAGTTAACCAGAGGTCAGAGGAAGTGGGTACCACAGCCCCAGCTATTGCATCATAGGGACCCCAAAAAGCTTTGCACTTCTTGTGCTCGCCCCAGCTTGTGGGGAATGAGTGGTAAGAATGGGCTGCAAACCTGCCTTCTTGGTCAGAGTGCAGATCACCATTGACCTTTAAGGTGTCCTGCAGTTGATATATAACTTGTTATAAATTTTAAGAACAACAAAGGAGAAATACAAGGTCAGACAATTAAGTTCATGAACTCATCCTGGAAAAACTGCTTTGAGGGGTGGTCTGGGTGCTGGCTTTCGTGCACAGCTTCCCAAGCGGAGTGCTTCAAAGGTGACCATAGTGATATTCAGCAGTGAGGTGTGTAGTAGCACTTTTTCTAGGACAAGTTCCTGAACTTCATTGGCAGACCTCATAGATAAATGAACTTTCAGTTAATTAGCAATTTCGACTAAAAGGGATTCCCTATATTTCCTATATGCAAGAAAAGCTAATTATGGTTGTGAAATGTTATGAAGTTTATTGTGCATTTGAAAATTTTCATGACATGCTGTGGGCCCATCCAGGTAGCAGGTAATGCAACTTTCTTACTTATACACAGAAAGACTTCAACATGTCTTTGCTTCTGTGGAAATAGATTACATTGCCTTGAGGTTAGGCCAAGGTATACTTTGATAACCAATTAGAAATTTTTCTGTAATTAGGCTATTTGGATCATATTGTTTACTTGGAACAAATTGACCATTCAAGAATGAATTTGACAACTATTGTGCAAAAATGCTAAATTATTGTGTTATATAAACCTGAAGTTTGATATTTAGATTTGTAGTCTAATTGCTTTAAATAATATGGACTTAGGATGATGCTAGAGATCAGAAAAATCCCTCAGACTTCAGAATTTATAGATTGTAAAACTTATTCCACCTTCTATTTTCGAACTCCTGAAAACAGAATAAGGAGGTATCCTCTTGAAGTTTTTGTATCAGGCTTAATTTTGAAATTTTCTTCTCTTTTGATAGCTAAACGTTCAGAAAGAAGTTCTGAAAAGTCATTAGAATTTTTATTTTCAAATATGAAATATATTTTTCTGCGGATGATCTGGGTTTTTAAAGCATTTCATTGAATGAGATAAGTTGATTTTTCTTGTGATTCTGTAATATTTCCATCTTTTATCTTAAAAAAATGTGTATTTGTCAAGTTTATCTAGTGTAAAACTAAAACTAAAATGTATACAGATCTGAAAATAAAACAAGGAATTCTGGGCTGGCCACAGTAGCTCATACCTATAATCCTAGCACTTTGGGAGGCCAAGGAGGGAGCATCCCTTGAGTTTGAGACCAGCCTGATCAAGAATGAGACCCCATCTCTACTAAAAATAGAAAAATTAGCTGACTGTCCTGGTACGTATCTGTAGTCCCAGCTACTTGAGAGGCTGAGGCAGGAGGATCACTTGAACCCAGGAGTTTGAAGTTGCTGTGAGCTAGCCTGATGCTGCAGCACTCTAGCCTCAGCAGCAGAGTGAAGCACTGTCTCAAAAAGAAAAAACAAAACAACCTCCCCCCACCACCCTGAAGGCATTGTGAGATGTTTTCTGGCCAGTGTGATTTAGGTACAGGGTATCTAAACCTAACAATTCAAGCATATGATGATAATACTTTAGTCTCAAAGTTGACCTAAATAACAGGTAAACATCACTGGGCACATTGTGGATATTTGAGAGTACATGTATAGCCCTAAGAGGAAGGAAGGTAGTCAGTTACTACTCAAGGCCAAAACAAAACCCAACCGAGCAGGCAGATGTGAAAATGGGATCAAATCCCCAAAGCAACATGCTCAGAGGTTTCAAAGCACAATAACTTGCTATCTCAGGTAGAAACTGAATTTGAAAGCATTTGGAAGAAAATGCTTCACTATCTAATCTGGATGGCAGATCTGGCAGAAGCCCATTACATTTTTCTCTCAGATAAGCACTGAGGTGTTATGTGCTAGAATAAAGCCCAGAGTAAAAGCTCCTGAGTATTTCCATTTCGGGTAGTGTAATAGGAGGATTCCCAGCACACCTGCGCCTGCTTCTTTGGTAATAGATATTTGAGACTTTTCTGGAATGGCTTCTACGACTCAGAAAAAGTGTTACCTGGAAATCTCCAGCTAAATAATTCCCTGAAGAGAATTAGCAGTGGGCTAGGGTTGGTTTTCACAGAAATGGGAAAAAAACCGATATGCCCCCCAAAATGCGATTTTGTTTTAATACCAGTATTAATTTTTTTCTTACAATTTCTGAAGATCATGGTAATTCTTGAAGCCATTAGGAGGAAGCTTTCTTAATAAGTTCCACTGAAGTGACCTGAAATAAAAGTACATTTTGGTCCTTAAAGTTGTTTTTTTCTTTGCTTTTCGACTATAACAATGTGGATAATTACAAACTATTTATCTCAGCAATAGCTGTCTGGGAACATTTTATATCATGATGTCACTTTCCTATTTATAGCATCATCTGAACTAGGTTTAACTGTTGATTTTGTATTGTGGAAGATAGTCATTTGTCTTTAAATTTAGATTACAGCATTGTAATTCTGACGAAAGATTTTGCAAATAATAAACCTGGGAAAATGGATTTTCAGTTATGTTCTTTTCTATTTTATTTAACAAAGATTAGAAGACATCTCAGTTTTTGATAGGCAACAAAAACAGTGTTTTCTTTTAAAAACACACTCAAGAGCTTGAATAGTACTATATTTCTCAATATTTCACTGCTCATATTCTAGTACCTTAAAAGTAGTTATGAAGAAAACTCTTGGTGCGTATAATTGAACCATTTTTATTTAATAAGCGATCCCATTTTAGTTCCCAGCAAGTTGTATAGAACGATTTTTACCTGTATTATGTACAGTTTAATAAACAGTTTGACACAGACCTGATACACAAAATTGTGGTGGTATTGGAAATGTCCTAACCTTTTAAAAGCAATGTAATATAATAAAAACAAAATAAGCCAGCCAAGAAAAAACCCCAAACCACTGTGGTTGGGTCCCTCGCATGAACTACACATCTCCTTCCCAAGTTAGTTTATTCATCTATGAAAGGAAGGATTTGGATTAGATGATATCCAACAATATGATGCTATTTTTAATACTATCATTAGTAACGATCTGATAATTATTAATAAATCAGCAACAGACAGAATCATCTGAAGTTTAACTCAGGTTAAAACAGTGTCATACAAAAAGCACTAACAATATTTAGATTTTGGACTAATGTTGCTTAAACTTGGTAATGAATTCTTGAAGAAAATAGTTTTTTACCTCAAATAGCAAATACATTACTCAGAAATAAGAACAAATCAGGAGGTATCACATTACCAGACTTTAGGCTATACTATAAATCTATAGTTTTCAAAACAGCATGGTACTGGCACAAAAACAGAGCAGTAGATTTATGGAACAGAATAGAGAACCAAGAGATGAACCTAGCTACTTATCATCATTTGATCTTCGACAAACCTATCAGAAATATTCAGTGGGGGGAAGACTCCCTATTTAACAAATAGTTGTGGGTGAACTGGCTGGTGACCTGTAGAAGACTGAAACTAGACCCCCACCTTTCACCATTAACAAAAATTGATTCTCACTGGATAAAAGAGTTAAACTTAAGACATGAAACTATGAAAATATTAAGAGAGTGCAGGGAAAACACTTGAAGAAATCAGCCTGGGAGAATATTTCATGAGGGGGACCCCCTGGGCAATTGAAGCAATACCAAAATCCATTACTGAGATCTAATCAAACTAAAAAGCTTCTGCACAGCCAAGAGCACAGTAAGTAAAGCAAACAGACAAGCTTCAGAATGGGAGAAGATTTTTGCAGGTTATGCTTCTGACAAAGGTCTGATAACTAGCATCTACGGAGAACTCAAACTAATCAATAAGAAAACAATAAATAACCCCATTTCTATGTTTGGGCAAGAGACTTGAACAGAAACTTCTCTGATGAAGACAAGCACACGGCCTACAAACGCATGAAAAAAACGCTCATCCTCCTTAATCATCAGAGAAATGCAAATCAAAACCACTTTGAGTTATTAGCTAACTCCAGTAAGATTAGCCCACATCACAAAATCCCAAAACTACAGATGCTGGCATGGATGCAGAGAGAAGGGAACGCTTCTACACTGCTGGTGGGAATGCAAGCTAATACGACCTTTTTTGAAAGAAGTTTGGAGAATACTCAAGGAACTAAAAGTAGACCT